TTCTTTGCCAATATTTCCCTTAGACAAAGCGACTGGCTTAGAGATGGCATGTGAGACTCAAGTGGACCAATGAGATTCAAGACCAAGACTGGTGCCGGGGACCACAGGGGAAGAAAAGCACTATTTCTGCCGGGGTTGCCTAGTTGGCAAGGAGTGAGGCTGGAGCTGCCGGGGCCGTCCTGGGTACCTGGCGAGGAGAGTGAAGCTACACAGATGGAAGCACTGAGACAGCAGGGATGGGAGAGAGCCGCAGTGACAAGGTCTGAGCCCCCGGCCGCGGCTGTGCCTGGAGCGAGCCACATTTGGACTTCCCAGTTTCGGGAGCCAGTGAATTCCCCACTTTGTGAAAGCTACTTTCAGTTGAGCGTCTCTCGCTGGAAAGCATCCAGGCTGACACTAGAAGGTTGAGCAACTTGCCCAAAGCCTGAAAGGTAGCAAGCAGCAGACCCAGGGTTTAGAAGCTTCTAACCCACTGCATTCAGACCAACATTCTATATTGGGCTATTCACTGATTTCACCTCTTTTTACCCATTTTCTCATCACAAAATGGAATAACACCAGACTTTTGGGACTGTTGGAAAACATAAAATGCGAGATCAGAACTTCCCTGGCCGTCAGTGGTTAAGACACCACACTTCCTCTGCAGGGGTGCAGGTTCAATCCCTGGTCAGGGAACTAAGATGCTATGTGCCACACAGCCAAAAAAAAAAAAAAAAAAAACTCTATTTTTTTTTAAGAAAAAGCCAAAATAAACTATTTTTTAAAAATAAAATGCAACATCATACCTAGCATGTCTGTAACCCATGGCTGAAGCTCTCTCTATGCATCCAGTTTCCGTGCTGCGGGCCTGGGTTTCGTCCCGAGTCAGTTATCCCATCTCAGGGATGCATGTGGCTGTCACCGAATCAGCCAACCGGCTCAGGTGCCCAAACCTCTTCAGGACAGCAGCTGTGAATCTCGGAGGGAAGGGCCACGTGCCTTCTCGGCTGTGTGTCCTCACTGGCAGACAGAAGGAGCTTGGGGGCCTTGAGGACTCTAGAGGTCCGAGTCGATGAGGTAGAAAAAAGCCCTGGTATCTTGATTTCTGGAACCTTCTTGTGGGCCTTGTGGGTCTTGTGGGCCCATCTGGGAACGACCTGTAGGTCAAGGAAGACAGCCCTGAAGCAGATCGACTTTGTCTTTTTTCTTCACGGAGTTTACATGCAGTGGTAGACGGGAACACGTAGAAAAATGTATGACGTGACACCACGTGGTAACAGTAGGGAGAAATATGTCCTCAAAGGCCTGATAAGTGCTAAGAAGAAACAGGGATTTGGAGCACTGTTTACTCGGGGGCATCAGAAGGGGCCTCTCTGAGGAAGCGACATAGCATCAGAGACTAGTTTGACTTCTCCCTGAATCCCAAGCTCCTAACACTGGTCTATCTCCCAGAAAAAAAGACCAGGATGGATTTTTACCAAGAAACTTGCTGACAATGCTAAGTCAGGAGTCAATGATGTGTCCGAGGCTTGGTAAACAGCCATCCTTCTCTACTGACAACTCTTTAGGACATTTTTAAAAGTTTAATGGGTCATTGATTTCCTCCATTAGCTAAATCTGTGAAGGAAAGACCCGGGAAATTGCGTGAGACCATCCCTTAGGCAGGCCTGCCAGGAAAAGGTTTTAGCTATCATGACACATGGTCATTTGTTTATTTTCTAACTGGTCATCACTAAAAGATTCCCCAACATCACCATCACATCTCTAGGGGATAGCAAGGCTTGGCTAGTTCTAGGTCAGGCCTTGGCAGGGAACTGGCAGAGTGTTATGGACAAGAGCCAAGCCTCAGAGAGCCGGAGAAGATTCCAGCACCTCGAGTCTCTCCTCCCAACCCAATATCAGGGGCTTGGGACACGGCCCAAGAGGTTGAGGTCCCTACCCTCATGGAATGCTTTAGTGGGGGGGGGGGGGACAGGAAAAGGAAACAAGCCAACAAATAAAGAGGGGGATTTTACAGAGAGATGAACTCTGTGATGCAAAAAAAAAAAAAGAAAAAATACAAGGTCACTATTAGAGAGTGACTGGGGTCTATTTTGGAGAGGGTGGTTAGAGACCTGTCTGCAGAGGACGTTTTACCTGGAATTTAAAGGGTGAGAAGAACCGCAAGAAGATCCGGGCAGCAGGAAAAGCTGGTGCAAAGGTCCTGAGGTTCAAACTCATTCAGTGAATCAGCGAATCGGACTAGAGTACAAAAAAAGGAGAGAGCTTGGCAAAATGGACCAACGTTAGGACTTGTTTGGGTTTCATTCTAATAAGGATGGGTGGGTAACTACTGGAGGATTTTACATATAAGTTCTCATGATCTAAAAGTTAAGAGCATCTTCTGGCTGCTATGTGAAGAATGGATATAATAGTGACTAGCTGAAATCTGAAGTGAGAAGTTTCATTCAGGATCAATATTGTGAAAAAGTTTTACCCTCGGCCATTGTGGTAGGTTGAGTGGGGGGCCTCAAAAAGATATACCTGAGTCCTATTCCCAAGAACCTAGAATGTAACCTCATTCAGAAAAAGTCTTTGCAGATGTAATTAATTCAAGGATCTCAACATGAGATCATCTTGGATCACCTGGCCATGCAAAGTCACCCTGCATTAGAGTAGGTCTTAGACCCAATGACAGATACCCTTCAAAGAGTAAGGCAGAGGGAGATTAGACAGCCAAAAGAGGAGACAGAGAAGAAAATTGAGTAAAGACAAGACAGAGACCAGATTTATGCTGCCACAAGCTGAGGAACAATTGAAGCCACCAGGAGCTGGAAGAAGCAAAGAAAGATTCTCCCCTAGAGATTTCAGAGGGAGTGTGGCCCTGTCAACACGTTGACTTCAGACGTCTGGCCTCCAGAACTGTTCAAAAATTTTATTTCTGCTGCTTTAAGCCAACAAGTTTCTGGTAATTTGCTAGGGTCACCCTAGGTAACTAATACACCCACTAAACACGCAGACCCTGCATCCCGCCACACTCCTTCACCAGGATCCTGAGCACAGCGCTGGCTCCACTCGAAAGCCGCTCCCGTCACCGGGTAGCACTCCCTGAAGGCAGGAGGGCCACTTGGGCTCCATATGGGCATTTGATTTATTTACTTACTTAGCTCAGCCCATGTGAGAGGAATGAACCAGCCTTGTTCTCTATTCCCTTCAAGGAGCTCTTCTGTGAGTTCCAGACAAACTAGCACTTAAAGAAACAAGGGCAGGAAGAGTTCACGGACCTGGAGAGTCAAATAGCTAAGACTTATACTAGACAACTGCCAAGTGTGGGGTTCCCAAACTTTTCACTTGAAGGGACATCTTTTGTTAATTTCCCCCTCCATGAAATAGTTTCTAAAGACACTGCCTACCAAACCAATTGCATTTACTCAATAATGATTTACCTCCCATTTGCTGTTATTTGATGGAATGTAAATAATAATGGGGGCTCATATTTACTGATCCACCCACTAGACTAAAAGAGCAGTGCTCTGTGTGTGCTGAGTTGCTTCAGCTGTGTCTGACTTTTTGCGACCCCCATGGACCACAACCTGCCAGGCTCCTGTGTCCATGGGATTTTCCTGGCAAGAACACTGGAGTGGGTTGCCATGCCCTCCTCCAAGGGATCCTCCCCACCCAGGGATCGAACGCCACTCTCCTGTGTCTCCTGCATTGCAGGCAGATTCTTTACCGCTAAGCCACCAGGGAAGACCCCCAAAACACTATACATATTCTTTCAGTCTTCACACCACCCTATGAGGTGGGTACTTTTATTATCTTCACTTTACAAAGGAGGGAACAGAGGCAGACAGCGGTTAGGTAATTTGCCCAAGGTTGCACAGCTAGAATTATATTTAATAGAACTGCAATTTGGACTTAAGCCGCCTGGCTCCAAAGGGTGTTTTCCCCTGGAGACTGGGTTAGAATCCTGGCTTCCATACCCATGTGCAAAGGTACCTTGGCCAAGTGATTTTGCCTCCCACAGCCTCAGTTTCCTCATCTATAAAATGAGAATAATAAAAGTGCCTATATTGTAGGGTGGTTGTAGAGATTAAATGAGAAAATGTACTTGAAATGCCAGGCACAGTGCCCACCTAAGCACTCAAGGAATGAGCTGGAATTCAACACAACTCTTGGGGAGGCTTGAGATGGGAACAGTGAAGAGAGATGACTCCTTCCTGTAGGGTCTCTGACCCCACGAAGTTCACAAAATCTAAATAAGGTGCCAGAGCCAAAGGTAGATGGCTTATAGTAGAACTTGCGGGAAAGCAACTTGACCAGCCCTTTTCATGTGCTATTCAAGGACCACAGGTACAGAATTAGCTGGATTGGCGGGTGAGAAATGCACATGCCTGTATCCGAATCTTTCGGAGGTCGGCCCGGAAACCTGCCATTATCCAACACTACTGCGCCGTGGAATGCGTGCTCCACTGAGTCCAGTCTGAGCAGGACTTCCTTGCTATTTTGGGAAATACTGAAAATCATTTCAAGATCCCAATCCATTCATTTCCGCAGCGCCCAGGAGACTCCAAAGCGGAAAGTACATTCAGAGAATAGCGGGGCCTTTCCCAACAGTCTGGTAAACCATGAAGCGCTAAGTTTCAAGAAACCAGGGCGGACATCGGGCCAGAGAAGGGAGGCTGGAAGGGGAGCACGTAACGCCCCCTCGCTCCCCGCGCCTCCGCCAGCTTGCTTTGAGCCCTGAGACCTAGGCCCTGGCGCTGCAGAAAAGAAGCATGATTGCTTCAAGGTCACTCGAACCCAACGCTCCGCGTCACGGCCTGTGCTCAAGACGCGTGGGCGGGGTGGCGGGGGAGGCATGCAAACCCACGCACCGTAGGCGGGGCGCCAGGGGTCGCCTAGGCAACGGGCGCGCGCCACGCCCAAGCCCGGAGTCCGGGAAGGGAGGGGGGAACGCGCGCTGCAAGATGTCTGCCCAGGCCCCGCCCACGGCCCCGCCCCGCGGAAGTGCTCGCCGACACCTACGAGCGCTGATTGGCCCTCCTTGCTGAGGGGCAGAGCTCGCGGCAGCGCGGTGCGTACTTCCGGCTGCCGGGTTGACATGAAGAAGCGGCGGCGGCGGCGGCTGAGGCGGCGGTAGCGGCGGAGCCGAGGCTTACGGGGGGACTTGGGGCGGCGAGCGCGACGCGGCCTATAGCGGCAGACGGCGCAGCTGGGCCGAGGGAGAGGCGCGGCAGCCGCCCCGGCCCGTCATGGAGATGGAGAAGGAGTTCGAGCAGATCGACAGAGCTGGGAGCTGGGCGGCCATTTACCAGGTGCGGGAGCGCCCCGGAGCGCTGCAGGCCCTCCCTGAGGCCTCGAGAGCCTTCCCCTCACACACGCCGCCCTGGGCCCGGGTCTCCCTGTGCGTCCCGCCTTCCGCCTCGGCCACCGCTGCTTGAGGACGCGATCGGACGGCGGCCGCGGCCGGTGCCCTGTGTCTTTGTCCCCTGGGCGGGCCTGCCTCTTTCCCGGGACTCACAGCCCCCCGTTGACCCCCCCACCTTCCTCAGGTCCTCCAGCCCCGGCTGACCGACCTCGCGAGCCTGGAAGCCGCCGGCCTCCGCTCTCGGCGCGAAGCCTCGCACCCCGACCCCGCCCCCCTGCCCGGCCACTCTTTGTCCCCTGGGGTGGTGGGCAGAACGCCCCCCGCCCCCACTTCCCTTCCTAGACCGGACCACCGCGGACTGTCTTCCTTTGTCTCCCCGGGGGGAGAGGAGGACTCCCGCCCTGCCTCTTTTACATTTCCTCTCCCCCTAGTCGCCGTGCTGTGTCGAGTCCCAAGGATGACAGTCCCTTCCCCTTTCCTGTTCATTCATTTGATGGATCTGCATCGGCGTACCTCTTACCGTGCTAGGCACTGCGGAGGCGCTGGAAGTAGTGTTTGCTGAACTAGACCCGCGAGATCCTATCCAGCCCGGGAGCTTAGAGTCGAACGGGGGCAGTCAAACACGTGAGCAGATCGTTTGAAGTGGTGACAGGGGCTACGAAAAAAACAAAATATCAGCGGGTCGAGAGTGACTTCAGGGGAGAGGGGCTGTCTCAGAGAAGCGGATCAGGAAAGACCTGTCAGAGGAAGAGGCATTTGCTCCGTGAGCTCAGCCTTGAGAATATCAGACTCAAGCGCTTTCCAGACAGGAGGCCTGTAGCACCCACTCCACTGGGGCCAGAAGGTTACCCCGTGTCAGGCAGGCAGCGCGTGGGGAGGTTAACGTTTTTAACCCTCTCGAAAACAGTATCTAAAATTTTCTCCGGCGAGCATCTGACCCTTCGGTCAGGGTGGAGATGATGTTTTCGCAGTCCTCCTCTCCTTGTGGGCTATGGTGGTTCATGAATAAAAACTTAGGGAGGTGGGGTTTCTCCCATATGTCTGCATCATCAGCTAGAAAAGATGAAGAGGTCTGCTTTCAGGAGCAGCGAAATCCTGTGAGGAAAATGTGTTGCTCCCGATTAAATGTCATTGCGGGGGTTGTGAGGATTAACCAAAAAAACCACACTGGGTGTTTTAAATAAGCGATGTGCAGAATAGAGAGGTGTTGTTACTTGTGTAAAGCGAGAAGGCTGTCTTCGGCTTATAGGCTCAAAAGGCAAATTGTGAGACCCATCAGCTGGTAGTATTAACATCTATTTTGAGCTCCACTTAAAAAGGAAAAAAAGCTTTAAGTACTTCTTTGGTATGCTTGACTAACAAAAGCCTTTTTTTGGCAGGCTTGGTTTCATGTGGATTTGCATCAAGCTTATTTGACAGGATTATTTTTACTTGCAGTGTAATGTATATTAGCTTCTGATAGACTAATGTTTATAACCACTCTAATCTGTATAAGTATGGTCGATCAATATATAAAATTTGTATTCCATGTCTAGTCTCTCTGAGTGAATTGAATGAATTCCACGAGTGACTTTGAGAATGTGTAGACAAGTTTTTTGCATCAGATTTAATACAGTATAGTAAAGTGGTTTTAAATGAAAGAATTCTTCATCTGAAGTGTTGAAGTTGATTATGATGTGCCCCGTCTCAAGTAGGGGTGGCCTCCAGGAGGTTTGAGGGAAAATCTTTTATATGGAAACTGACTCAGTTGGCAACAACAAATTCATATTATAAAAAGCCTTTGGTTGAATTTGATTTGTTTTAGGGCAGAGTGAGAGACCTGTCACCCAAGCATTATTAAAACTGTGTTAAGCAAGCCACTAGCGTGGAGCATGGTCTTCAATTAAATTTCCCTCGTTCTTAAGTTTGTCTACCACCTTGAAGTCCCATGAGTTATATGTTGAGATTTCTCTAGACTCATAATGGATTGCCACATTTCTGGAGGTGGTTTCTTTTATCTTAGAGAATTATCCACTCAGGCTTTCTCACCTTTGCAGTACAGATATTTCTCTCTTACAAAATCGAAATTAGAACTCTTTTCCTTCTTAACATTAAAAGTGTTAGTAGCCAACTGTGGCATTTTAAAACAATGTAGAATTCAAATGACCTTGAGTTTAAAGTGGCAGATTTTCCAAAGTATATGTCAATTTACCAAAACCATTATTTTTCAGAAATTCAAAGAAATGTGTTTATGGTTGGTAGAAAATGGAAGTTAAAAATATTTTCTGGCATGTCACAAGGAAGGCAACTTTCTACCAAGCCACTTTGAGCTTGCTTAGTCTATTGTGATTTAAAAAATAATACATAATTTTTGTAAACAAAGCAGTGCAGTTATTTCTCACTATACTAACTCCTAACTGAAACAAAAATATGTAAAAACTCAGAAACAATGGGAAAAGAACACAGGATGAAGTAGACTCTTACATGGCTGAGGAATGTGGCAGCTTAGAAAACACATGTTTCAAGCAAAGATTCTCTGTTGATTTGATAAAGTGAGTATAACTGGTTTTAGTCGTTAATGCTAATAAATAGCATAGACATTGATAAGCATTTAGGTCTATAAAAAGTCACCTCTGAAAGCATGTGCAGATGGCTTTAAAAATTGTTTTCTATCATTTAAACGATTGTATGTCTGGTTTGAAAAGTGGAATTAATACATAGCGGGCCTTGAGTGCTCAAGAGAGAAGAGATAGGGGAAAGGGATTGGTTTTGGAGCTAGAATGAGAGAAGAGTGGGCTTGAATGAATCAAAATAGGAAAAACTGCGCGTTTGTAATTTAAAGTTGGGGTCAGGTATTTTCACTATTTCTCTCATCTTTAATTCTTTGATTCTCTGACACTGTTCACTACTTCTCGGTATGAATGATTTGATTGTCTCAGATAAAAGAGATTGCAACAAAAGCTTGTGACTCGAAGGCAAGATTTATTCTGTGTTAGAGGCAGTCTTTGTAAAATAGGCCACTCTCCCAATTGACATTTGTTTTTATAGCTGCTTTCATTGTGAAATACGATTTAAAGCCTGACTGTGTTAAAACCATGTTGTAACAATAGTCCACTAAAATTCCTTACTGTTCTATACTTCTTGTATTGTTATAGTCTAAGGTGAATATTAAAATTTCCTAATAATTTTTATATAAATATTATGCTCTTCAGAGAAAAACTATGTTTTGTACAGAGGAAGAGATCTATACACTATGACTCACTTCACTTAAAAAAAAATAAGACAAACGGAAATGACATGGAGAGCTTGGGAAGCCCTAGTCATCTTGAGTGACCCATTAGGTCTAAATGTTCTCTTGTAGCCCTGGTTTGAGTGCACTAAATTTAGGTGTCTGATCCCCACTTTGGAAATGTGCAAAGACGCTTGTAATTGTCTGGACTCCTCTTAGATTAACAGGGGGTACAAGTAGAAATAGTGAAAGGAGGAGTGTTTTGCTGTCATTATTTGTTTGACATCACTGTTGTATTTATAGGAATACTTTGGTTCTTTTGGAAGTACATTATAAATCGTACCAGATGGTTCTAAAAAGACAGCTGGCGGATAACATGTGTATACATGCACGCACACGTATGTGCTTAGTCGTGTCCAACTCTGTGTGACCCCATGGACTGTATCCCGCCAATATAGTGGTAATGCAAGTGATTTTCAGTTACCTACCATTGGGCTCCAAAGTCTCTCCAGTGCATTTTGCATTTTAGCACAAATAGTTCTCCCAAATCTATTTTTTAAAAATTCTGGTATTGAGTAATGTAATTAATGTATATTGAATTTCATGATAAATCTTTAAATTTCCTGTAGGGGTTTTTTCATTCTCTAAACTGCTGAAATAACTGTGTCTGCCCCATGGTGCCTGCCCCCCCTCCCCCCACGACTGCCTTTTTTCTTTTTTTTGAGTTGTCCGTTTTCTGATCATTTAGGTTGCAGAATCCTTTTAGCAGTTTTGGTCCAATCCTGTGCTCTTAATGGCATGTATTTTTCATCAGCCTACTTGATGGCGTGTGAGTTTTGCACAAGCTGGCATCCCTCCCTACAGTGTTTATGTTAATTCGTTCATGGTAACCAGCTGATACTGACTGCAGAGAGGCTGGGCATGTTCCCTTGTACTGCCCCTGCTCAGGAACAATGGGAAGTCCAGCTGGGTCATTGTGTCCAAGACAATGCAGTTTGGTACCAGTCATTCGGTGCACGTTTTGAACATCCAGGAGTGCTGGGAACTTTGCAGTGGTTCTTGATTCCCTCTGCCACATCTTACTGCCTGGTCACTGTGACATGCTTCCTGCCATCCCAGTGGTCTCAGTTCTCAAATTTTACCTATGCTGCTACCGTTTCTGGTTTCGCATGACAGAAATTAGTGAAACCAGAAATAACTAATAAGGTCCCTGAGCAATCTCTTCACATCTTCCCCCGCCCTACCGGATGTGTTCTTCACATTATCTCTAGAGTAATTGTGTTAAAAACAGACCTGAGCCTGTCTCTCCTCTGTTTACTTTACGCTGTCCTTTATCAGTGAGGTCCAAACTCCTTGGCATGGCAGCCAGGCTCCAGCCTTCCTCTCTCTCCCATGTACCTTTTATTCTAGCCACCCTGGAAGGTGCAGTCTTGTCCAGACTCACCCTTCTCTCTCGTTCCTCTGTCCCTTGGCTCAGCACTCTGTTTAGGCTGCCAGTCCCTCTTTCTGGCTTAGACGCATGCCCCTCACACTAGATTTTGGCCTTCTCGCTTGCCGTGTCTGTACACCTTCACACCCATCTCTTTCAAAGCCGCGTGCTCTCACGGGAGTGGTTTCTTCGCATCTGGGCGCATCTCCTGTAGAGTCAAGCTGTGGAAGTTGGCTCTTCATCTTTCTCGTTCATCTAGGTGTGTGTTTCGCACTTGCCACAGGGTGCCTTAAGAAATGCTGGGGTCGAA